CCGCACTGATGCAGTAATTCATGCAAAAGGAGGTCCAACCAAGTATTGAGTACATGTACAGTAAATTAACATACTTTCCAGAAGGCCAACAATTCACTAAAAATGTTTTTCTTATTGGTCTTATGAAGTATTCTAGTTTGTTGAGATAGTGAATTGGTGGGTTTTTGTGAAATGTGAGCCAAAATCATCACAATTAAAAGAACCAAAGACTTAAACTACTTCAGTCTGTGTGCACTGTATTTATTTAATACACAAGTTTCACAATTTGAGTTGAATTACTGAAATAAATGAACTTTTCCACGACATTCTAATTTATTGAGATGCACCTGTATATATATAAAAAATTTACATAAATATGTATTTAGAGTTTATATATATATATATATATATATAAAACTCTAAATACATATGTACATTTTTTATTGTTTCATTATTTTATTACGTATTTATTATTATGTATGTAAATTGTTTTTATTCACAAAAACATTTTTGTTCCAGCTCAATGGACAAACTTTTGCTAGAAAACAATGCAAGTCATTATTGCAGCTTTATCCATGTTATACAGCTAGATAACCTTATCTAGGTGACAAATTGGCTGAATTTGCAACAATCATCAGAATCAGAAGGAGCTTTATTACCAAGTATGTTTACATAATGTCGAATAAATCACAGAACACCAACAGTTTCAGTGCGTAAGACATAAAAATAGATAAGATTTTCAAGTGATTGTTCCCCATTCTTTATTGTTTAGCCCTTGATAGCACTGTGAGAGGTTAAATTAGCTGCTGATAATGTTCACATTTGGATGAGATATTTTTATTGTAGATTTTTTATTTTGAATTTTTAAAGTTTAGCAGCCATGGCCACTATAAACGCTTGCTCTGCAGGGAAGAAATAACAGCATATGTGTTTGGAGCGACATGATGGTGAGTAAATAATGACAGAATTTTCATTTTTGTGTGAACTAATCCTTTCAATTTGGAGGCAGCTCTAGCGTTGTGTTAAAAGCTCTGCTCTAAGCTCCAACTATCTGTGCACGTCTGAGAAAGACAGCTGAAGTTTTTCAAGAGTCTGAGTCAAGCCGGCATCAAAGAGCAGATAAAAGACACGAGGATCAAGCTGAGATACAAGAGGGACTATGCCTGCAAGCTCACATGCCTGTGGGCCCAATGGGTATTCGTTTTATCTCTTTACTCAGTGAGGAACGAGCAGCACCCATTCGCACTCATGACATGCACGCACAACTGATACACTTCAAGACAAACGCCAAAATAAAAGGGTTACCTTGCTTGAAACCTCTACTCTAACTATTAAACTTTGGTCAGGGTAGGAATATGTAAGAACTTTTCCCCAGGCCATATAATAATGTGAGACAGAAATAATATTTTATGTTGTTTAAATATAAAACTTTTTTATTTATTTAACATATTAACACTTTTAATATTAATTAAAAATCTTTTAAAATGTATTTTTTCTTCTTCCAAGTTACTTGCAAAGCCAACATTTTCACTGATACTGCCCACAAAAGAATAAGGTTCTTTCAAATTATTTGTAGCAATGTATTTTTTATATTTGATAGAAATAATATTTATTTTGCTCAAATGTAGCCTATATTTTTATTACATTTTTAAATCTTTTAAAATATTCAAAAATGTCATCTTCTTCTTTTTTCTTTTTTTTTTAATTTTCCCTATTTATACTTCCTAAGCCAACATATTCACTGCCACAAAATAATTATATGTTATTTTCAAATTATTTTTTATATTATATTAGCACTGTATTTTTAGAATTGCTGGAAATATGGCTGGAAATATTGTTTAATTTAACATTTTATATATATATGTATATATACGTGCCGATTTATTTTTTTCACACGCACCAGACACGTTTTCAGGGCGGTTTTGCGCTTCGTCAGTGTTTCTAAATACAATAATGCTTTAAAAATAATTTTAAAAAACACTTACATGCGTTAAGCACAATTACTCGACACATGATAAATAGCGCTAAATAAACGACAACCCAATTAAATCAATTTCTCCACATGTAGGCCTAATGGATACAAACTGCACGCATTTTCTTTGCTAGTGGAAAACCAAAGACATGCTCAGTTGGTTAGAAAGTTGCAAACAATTTAAAAATATATATTTTATAACACACAATTGATGTGGAAAGGAATAGTACGAATTGAAAAATATGTTTACTTTCATTTAATTTAGCAATGCTCTAAAATCCATAAGTTAATCACTAATGAAAATGGGTCTCTCTAATATACATGCCAAAAACGGTATTGTGACACTTTATGACATGCACAGCTATCTTCTTTCGGAGGAATTAAACTGCTCTCGTCATGTGACTCCAGCCATGTCAAAATGTTCTCATGAAAGTGACTATAATTCATAACTCAAAAGTGCAAAATGCGCCAAACAACTCTTTTCAGACTCGGTAATAAATATAGGGAAACTGAAATGTGCGCTGAAAAGCCACTTCAGGTCACATCTTTGCCCGCGATGATGGACTTACTTGAAAGTGAGGATGCAGAGCGGACGGTAGGATTTGTGGCTGGTGTTATCAGCCATCCGTTTGCCCCAAAAGTCATTGGTGAAGATGCTCCGGAGGCTGGAGCCCGGTCTGACATCTGGATTGTTGGTGATAGCCCATATATCATCATGCACAAACTCCCCCCAGAGAGAGTTACTGTAGCAGAGCAGGCACACCGCCACCAGCGCGGCGTACCGGAGCAGCCGGACTCCCGCTCCCGGCCTCGGTAGCGCGGACAACCGCCGCTGCACGGGGGGAGACGCGGCTTTGGTCCCTCGGCTGTTCGCTGTCATGTCGGTCCCCGTCTCGCATGCCGCTCGTGGGAGTGAAAGAGAGGAGACTCGTCCCGTTCCATAGCCTGTGTGCCACACTGAAGCCCAGACTGCGTATGAGTTCTGAATGCGTAATATCTCCGAGTGTGAATGTGTATAAGGTGTTGAAATCTATGTAACCCGCCTACCGGCGCATGCGCAGGAGAGAGAGAGCGAAAGAAGAGGGCGAGAGAGATGCAAATGAGAAAGAATGAGCACGTGAGGAAAAGAAAATAAAAAAGATGGAAAGAGAGAGATAAATGGAAATAAAAGGTAGAGAATAAAGTATGGAAAATATATTATAGTTTATTATATTTTCCCCATTAAATTTTTTTTACCCCAAATCTTTTAGATTTACCTCATTTTTGCATTATTTATTTTTACACTTCATTAACTTTTTTGTTTGATTTGTTTGATTCGCTACAAGGTAATTGTGACTTTTTTAATTCATTGTGCATTCCGTGGCAGAAAAAAAAGAATGAAAAAAATAGAATTGTGAGATGTAAACTCAGAATTGTAAAAGAAATCAAAGTTAGAATTCTGAGTTCATATCACAATTCTGACTTTTTTTTTCACTGTGAGATTGTCACAATTACTTTTTTTTAAATTCCATGACAGGAACAGGTTTCTATAGTTTAGAGCTGAGAATAGCTATAAAACTTGCAAAAGATGTTTTATAGCCATGTAATTTACTAAAACTAGTTTACTTTAAGGAAAGGAATATTAGTTGGTACTAAATGTTTCGATAATGCGCTTTGATAATAATGGATGTAATTTGAAGAATAGGTTGCTTTCTGCTCTCATATGTTTGTCAAAATAGTGCACAAGTATTCTTGTATTACACTAGGTAGGTCAAAAGGTTATGCTACTGATTAGATTTTATGATTTTTATAGTTTGTATAAATTGTGGTTATTAAAAAAAGACTGAACAAAATGGCAAACAGAACCTGAAAGCATCTTACATTGTTTACACGAAATTCCATAATATTTATGGTTATAGCAGTATATCTAGGCAGAAACTATGGCTACCAAGGTGACATTTTGGAGGAGAGAATGAGAACACGAGAGAAAGTTAAATGCAAATTATGGAGTGAATGAGATGAGCGAGCGCAGGCAGGAAATCAATAAAGAGCTGTGGGATATTTCACACAATGATTGCACTGCCTTGACCGTGACCTGTGCTTCCACACACAACCAGTCATAAGCAAATTGCTCTGGGTTTGGACTTGCTAATGGAACAGGAAGACCGTGATAATGAATCATGATGATAAATGCACTTTTAAAGATTCACTGACGGGTGAACATCTGGCTAAACATGATTTTATGCAAGAAATGTTAAAATTACCCTTCTGGGGGGCTGTTTAAATACATCTGGTGGCTCCCTACAGTCAAATCACTCTTGCAACCAGATTGAACAGTGAAACGGATTGCTGATGGTGCTTTTCTGCATTGTGAAATAATTTTCATGACAATTAAGCACATTTAAACACCCTCTACGAACTGTCAGTAGCAGGAGCAACAACGAAAAAACAAATTATATTATTTAAATTGTGCATAAATTTAAATGTGCATAATTTGTAACCATAAATCATGGTAATATCTGAAGTACTGAATATAAAATATTTACATGTACATTTATTCATTCAGCAGAATTTTTTTTTTTTTTTTTTGTGAATTCATGGAGTTGGAACAAAAAAAATATTAAGTATATAATTTCTAGCATGTTTTAATAAAAAAAGAACTTCAAATAAAAAAAAACATGAAAAAGTTCACTTTAAAATATAAATATTATATATATATGCGTGTGTGTGTATCCTCACATATTACAATAAAGAAACTTATTTTGCAAAATGTGCTTAATTGTCTGAAAAATTGTCTCAAAAAAATCATAATGGTACTTAGACTTCATTTTCTTTAAAAAAAAATGTACAATATAATTTCTTCAAGTTCTATTTTGATTTTGGGGTGAAATATGATCTGGCTAAATATGCTAAATAAAATGATCTGGAAAATATACACAAATAGATGATCAAGCGACTGCATAACCATACAAAAAACAGCAACCCTGCAAATGCTTAGTGTTATATTAACATTTATGATTTAAGTTAATTCTGAAAACTGACTGTTACAAAAACAAACTCTGAAACATATGAACATATGACAGCTATAAACACCGTCCTTCTGACATCTAGCCAGTGCACATGATCTGTTCGGGCAGGAAAATGCCTACGAATCTCTGAAGGCACTGACCAACACAACAAATCCCTCCATCTGTGTGTCAGTCTGAAGCGGTGTCCGTCTGTCTCTCTCTGACTTGCCTTGACATGTCTCACCTCACTGCCTTGGTCAAGTTTCTCACTGACTCATTGCAAATGGAGGAGAGACTGAGAGAAACAGAATATACAACATTCAATTACTCATACACACACCCATCTGCACACATGTGCAAACACCCACAATTCTGTACAGATGTGCAGAGACACACACACACACACACACACACACACACACAACTTCAGTGAAGGGGTGACCCAGAGTAACCTCTTCGATCTCACTGGGGCCTTTCTGAGCAGGTCTGACAATGTTTCAGTGTTCCTGTTAAGAATCATGGACCTGAAGGGCTTGCTTTGGGTCCTGGGTTAAATATCCCATCCATCTTGACCGAGATGTCTCTAGTATCCAGAGTTCAGGCTGTTTTCGGGTGTCAGAACTCTGTACAGCTCCAAATCCAAAGTGTCAGGTATCTCCAACCTGCCTCAGAGCAACTGGAACATTTCTACAGGGAGATGATGAAACAATCTTGCATTATTTCAAGTGTTAGAAGTACTAACAGTAGTCATCAGACAAGATAAATAATGTAATGTCAATGTTAAATGTGCTAGACAAATGCTTTTAAATACTTCTGTGTCACTGAGTACTATGATAATCTTGCCATTTCAAACGCTGTCAATCGTACACATCACGGTTTCAATTAACGTCCCGCCCATTTGAGAGCTTTATAAATCATATATAGAGGCAGAACTTTTAGACGAGACTGGAATAGTCTTTCCTAATGCAATAGTTTAATTAATAGTGCTGGGTGATATTTTACTTTTATATTGTGACAATAAAATATTTCAAGGAGAAGAACACTGAAAAAAAGTATCATGGTTTGCACAAAAAGTTTAAGCAGCACAACTGTTTTCAACACTGGTAATAATAAGAACTGTTTCTTTAGCAGCAAGATATGTACAAGATAAATATGCACTTGCCACATTGTTGAGGAAATTTCAGGGTAAGTCATGCTTCCTGTGGAGTCTTAAAGCAGTTACTGCTGACTTACCACAGGCCTTTGAGTCCTGCGCTCCTCCTCTGCTGGGCAAGGTTATAGATCTCCTGCAGTTGTTTCCTCTGGTCTTCACTCAGAGGAGATGTGAGGGACTGATACCAGCCTGCATCTGAACTCTGAACACCTGAAAAAGGAAGTGTTTCCAATTACTGGTGCTATACTTGTGGAAAATTGCTGAACATCAATTTGATTGATGTTCAAATAAATTAATAATACAAAAAAAACCACCTAATAAATATGATATTAAAAAAGGTTTAGCTAAAAACAACATTTTTAAAAGTAAAAAAAAACTACAAAAAAAACAGCAGGATGCTTTGCCTCGCGACATGCTATATGCAATATTTAATTGTTAATTAAATAATTAGTTATTTATAAAATTTCTATACATGCAATTTCAATGACCAAGTTAATTAAGAAACAACATGGAATATTATTAAGAGGACCATTTCAAAATAACTAAGTTAAAAAGATGATTTAAAAAAATTGTGGTAAAACTAATGAAATGATGAAAAGGAAAAATAAGTGTTTTATTATTATTTTATCTTAGCACCAAAATAAAAAGTATTTATCCCACAGATAGATAAATAAATAAAAAATAATAATAATTAAATAAATATTTAGTTTTAAAATCACTAATGATCTTTAATTATTAATTAAATATTTATTATGAATGCAATTTTCTATGACCAAGTTAAGTAAGAAACTACATAAAAAATTTCAAATAAATAATTTACAACACAACAGGACTATTTCAAATTAACTAGTGTAGACCAAAAAAAGCTTATAAATGGTTAAAAAAAAATAAAATAATAAATTTTAACCTAAAATGTTGTTGTTGATTAAAATAAGTGTATGGACAAATTATGCATAAACCACTCATTTGTTTAATATTCATCTATATGGAGCAGGATTTTGGACAAATGAGATTTCACTGTAGGTGGGGCTGTTCTACACAAATATTGCATGGTGTGACATATCTTAGATATGTAATAAATGTATTATGTTAATGTACATGTCTGGTATATTACAGAGTAACAAAAATGTGCATACGGAGCAGGGAGGCGGTGAAGAACTGATATTCATCCTCTCCATTGTCATAGTCCAGTGGTGTACTGTACTCCTCTAATGGGGTCCCCTCCAGACCTTCATCATCCCAATATTCATCATCGTCCTCATCATCTTCATCTTCATTGTCATTTCCAGTGGGTGCGCCAGACGACTGCAGGGCCACCCCTTTCTGTCCGACCTCATCCTCGTCGCTAGGAATCTCCTCTGGAAAACAGACATGATGAATTCCCAAACTCAGTGTAGTAAATTTCATGAGTAGGAATAGGAGGGGTTTGGTGATGTTGTCTGGATCTTGTTGAAGTAAAGGTCACTTCTAAAAATAGAGATTTCCAGTGTTTGAATCTCAGTCTACTGAATCTCAATCCCAGTCTACCACTGGTATGAAGCTAAAAAAAAAAAGAGCCTAAAGTCACAATTTATGGAATTTATATATATACATTTTTGGAATTTATATATTTTTGGTTTACAATGAAACAATAGCTGTGTACAAATTTGCATATTATTCGTAGTATACAGTACGCCAAACTAGGATTAGTAGTGTGTCACAAATCAAAATAAACACTGGAAAAAACTATGGTGGTAATCAGTATTTTGCCATGTTTTCCAGTAAGAAAATATTCATATTATATAAATATTCCTATGAAAACCTAAAAATATAAGAGAAGATATTTTGAAGAATGTTGGTCCCCAT